AATTTTCAAATTATTCAACTATTGTAAACTGTCACTTTCTAAGAATAATTAATTTCTCTCAGTTTAGACCCATTACTACATCTTTTCCCCTTGTGTCAGGGTGTATTTTTCAATTGGATTTAGAATGTGTCTTTCCCTTTGGAATCCCATTCCATATTTTATTTCAGTGGGTAACTATAGCCAAAAGGGCCCCAAATGCCTATCCTATCATGAAGATATTCCCTCACTTTTGCTTGAAAGAGGTCCTTCCGTTTCTAGATCTCTGCTTGCAGTCCTGGTTGTCACACTTGGCTCCGTTTGGAAGGCCATGATAGTGGCTATTCCATCTCAGCCTTTAAAATACATCAGCTGCCCCCACCTTGAACCCCCATATACTGCATGTGTAATGTGTAGCAGTCAGCCTGCTGGCAAACACTTCTGTCTAGGGTCTGTTCCCAGGACCACCAACCTCCTACGTGCCCAGCCTGCTTCTGCCTACTTGCGTTCCTCATGCCCTCAGACTCCCCGATGCTGTACTCTAACTTTCAAGGTCCTTCTCTGATACATCATCCTGTTCAGAGTCCCTTCTCTGGTTGACTCTAACTTGTATTTCCCACTCAGCTCTTGACTCCATCCATTTTTACATTATTTGAAGTTAGGTAAAAAAATGTTCCCTCTACTTGTACAAGTTCAGCTAGGTACTCAGCTCCCCCGTGAAGAAAGCAGAATGTAGACAGAACAAGGAAGACAAACTTCACAGCTTAGGTTGTAAAGAAGCTTATTTCTAGACTAATAGAAAGGATTCTTTACTCTTTTATAAGCACAAATTGCTAATTATCTCAAGGTTATAAAGCCAACAAATCTGGAGGTCAAGATGCCTTTAGACAGACTGAAGAATGACCTGCAAACATCAGGCATTTAAGGAGCAGTACGTCCTTATGCTATTAAGTATTGTGAAAGAGAAACTTATGTCTTGGCCAAATGCACCCCCATTGGAGAAGGATACTTATCCAACTGGATCATGGCTCTAGTTCAGGGTAGTAACTATAGAAACAAGATTTGGGCTGAAAACATGGACCACTGGGTTTCTCATTTCAAATCAGTCAGATTAAAAATATTTTATTATTAATAGCATCCCCTAAAAACCACAGCATGCCTTTGAATGTTTTTAATTGCATACATATAAACCGGTAGAAAAAATCTTAGGATAGTACCTTATGTATGAGAGATTGAAAAATGTGAACTGATAGTAAAATGACTGCACGGAATTTACTTTCAAGATTTGAGAGATTTATGAGTTTTAATGGAAGTTTCATTTGAAATAATGGAATTGCTATTGAATCCTTAAAAAGTAACATAGGAAATGACTCAAAAATATGACCCTTACTTAGAGTAGTGTTCTAGATGTCTTCTAATTGCATGGAATTCACCTATTTCCCCAAGGAGAAAATGTATATAAAGAAATGATGTCATACAATCACTGAACCAAAATTCCATCAGGGTCTACAGTTGTGCAGAGAAGGAAATGCAGAAAACAGATCCCCAGATTCCCACTTCACATATTTCGACACATGTTTTTGACACAACTTCTGTGTGTGGGGTTTGTTTGTTTTACCTCACCTTGTTCCAGAGACAAATTAAGGCAACTTACAAAATCACATAAATTAGGGCTCCAAGTAAAATAAGCAAGAAATAAGGGTGGGTATGGAAAATAAAGCCAGGAATGATGTCAAAAAATGCACATCACAAAGACCTATACACTTAGCGCATGGGTGGAGGGTACATTTGGCTCTGGTTTACTAGCGGTCAACACAGAAATAGAAGCCTGGTTACAGTGTCATGAAATAAATACAGAGGCTCAGAAAAAAGTCACAACTTTTTCTTGGCACAGAAAACAGAGGTTTTCTCCAAGGGTTTTTTTTTTTTTAAAGAAGATACTATATGATTTAATAAGCAATATCCTGCAGGACTCTTTCTATGCACAATACAGGGTTTCATAATTGATTCTTACAGTGGACCTCAATGTAGGTATTATAACAAATGCATTAGAGCATGATGTAATAAAATATTTTCCAGTGGGCCAATACTGTTGTCAAGAACTGTAAAAGGTCTGTGATTTTACCCTGTGTGCAAGATAACATGCAGGGTTAATGGAAGTTGGCAGGTGACACAAGACTCCTGGGTCAAAGACAAACGATGGTTTATTACTCACAGCAATAGCAGTAGCCTGAATATCAGCATTTGCACCAGTCCTAGGAGCTCCAATTCTCAAAGTGCAACACAAAGAGGTACAGGTGATACCTGCCCGTGCCATGGGTTATATTACAGGAGAAGGAATGATAAATTTAGGGGACTCGATCACTTCCTATTATAAAAGATTCATGCATTCCCTTTGCCTTGGAGGGAGACATTACTTTTATTACAAGGGAGAGCAAATAAACTTCTACCTTCCAGGGCTGTTTGCTATACAAATATTTTTAAAAAGACAGTCTGGAGTGCAGGGAAACATAAGATGTGGAGAATCATAGAGACCCTTAGAGAATTGTTTCTTAATAACTGTTTATTCTAGGTTATACTCAAGAGTTCTGTGGCATAATACAGAACTAACCTTTAGACTATTTGGAGGAATTGATGAATTGTGTTTCACTTGACACTATTCATCATACACTTATTGGATTCTTATATTCTCGGCACTAGAAAGAGTACAAACAAAAGAGACATGGTCCCTTTCTTTAGGCCAGAGATCCTCAAACTTTTTAAACAGGGGGCCAGTTCACTGTCCCTCAGACCATTGGAGAGTGTGCACTGTGGGCCTGGGATGAGTCAGCTGCTAAGCAGGACAGGCAGCCATGGCAAAAACACCCGGAGGGCCAGATAAATGTGCTAGATGGCCCACATGTGGTCTGAGGGCCGTAGTTTGAGGATGCCTGCTTTAGGCTATAATTCCTCATCCCTGGTGTGGGGACAACTCTAATACTTTCACCATCTTCACTAAGTGCTCTCATTTGTCCTATTCGCTAAGGTAATGCAAGCATCATTTTCTGACAAAATAATCAGAGATTGGCCTTTATTTAATTAGTCTCCAGTCAGTTCCAAATTGCAAATAACAATTGCTAATGCAAATTGGATTTTGCTTGCTGGCCAAGCACAAACTGATTCCTGAATTCCATTACCTAACTCTTGCACCAGCCCCTCATACTGTTCTGAAGAACCCAGCCTCCTTTTTGATATTTCTGCTGGGTTTGTTCCCCTCAGGAAACCTGTCATTTCCTACTGACACAATGGCCTCACTGGCTTAATGTGATGGCAGTGGCATATAGAAGCAGAACCAGCAGTGCCAGCTGGATAAACGTCCTCACTCAGGTTTGAGAGAGATGCCTATTCAAGTAAAAATCAGAGATGAAAAGACCTGTTAAATAACCCAGTCCCTCCCTCCAGTGCCAGAGCATTCCTATGGTGGGAGCTTAGACCCAGCTAGCTCTAAATGACTTTAACAATGTGCCTTCTCGTGCTTTATTTGGAAGATGGGGCTGTCTCTTCAATTTCTTTTTCTTTTGGTAAGTTTTCTATCTAGAATTTCATTTGGCTAGCATTATTACATTTCTCTTTTACTGTTTTTGGTTCAGCTACAGCACCCCAATGAAAGAATCTATTTTCAAAGAGTCGGTATAAATAGACAAACATATTTAAACTACTTTATTAACACAGCCATTCCAGCCATGTGCCTGTATATTTTGAGCAATGTGATGCAGGAGAAGAGGTCACACATGTGGACTTCAGAGGCAAATACACCCAGGTTAGAATTATAGTTCTACTTAGTTGGGGACGTTATTATTATTGTCATTATTGTTTGTAGTGACTGCCACTTAATAAATGCTTCCTGTGTTTCAGGCACTATGGCAAGTAATTTCTAAAACTCCTGCCAGCAAACTTATGAAATTGGTCCTGTCATCTCTACTTTAGAATTTAGAGTTTAATAATTAACAGTGGAAGCATTGTGGTTAAATGGTTTGCTTAAAATACCAACCCTGTGACCTAGGGCCTTCACTTTACCTCTCTGTGCCCAGTTTCCCTATCTGTAAAATGGGGATGCTAGCAATGCCTGCCTCATTGATTGTCTTGAGGAATAAATGTCTCAATATATGTTAATTGATTAGATCAGTCCCTGGCATGGGGTAAGTACTTAAATGCTAATATTGATAACATATAGATGAAGTTTGTCCAAGGACATCTCACTAATAAGTGGCATCCTACTTTAAGCCCTGGCCAGTTCTATTCCAAAGCTCATCCAAATTATTAACCATTAGAATATACCAGCTTAGTCAGAACATTTAACCTGTCTGAGCCCCTCACTGGTTTTTCTCACTGGTAAAATGAGGATATCACCATATTTCCTGCACAACCACTGTGGAGATTAAAATGCAATAAAGTAGTTAAAGAACCCGGCCCAGAGCCACGGGTCAAATACTAATAGTGTTCTGTCTGTGTTTCTGCATCCACATCCATAGAATAGATGTATGTTTATTTCTGAATATGCATATATGTGCAAACACATATATACATATGTATCATACATAGCACATAACTCTGTAGCCAAGGACTTAAATGTTTCTCATAATATTAGAACTGCAATATGGCTCAAAGTGTATTTTTATGTTTGTTTCCTCCAATTTAAAAAAATTGGGTTTACTCCCATTGAAAAGAACTGGATAATTAAAAACAGTTTCCTTCCTAATAAGCTTTTATTTTATATTTTTATCATTTTGGTAGTTTTAAGTATGTCTTTTCTGGATTCCTTAAAGTAATTCATCAAATGTTTCAAACTTGCCTAAATGCTTTTTCTTTCATAAATATAGATTGGCCATAATTTCAATGTTTAAATCACAGAGGGAAGGGAAGAGACAGACAGTTACAACCTAGAGGAGGGAAATGTGATGATATGTTTTTGCTGTTGTGCTTTTTTTCCCCTTGGTGTGTGTGGGAAAGGGTGTGATGTCATCTTGTCTCCACCCCCTGTGAGTAAGCCCACAGCTCGGCTTAGTGCAGCGCCCGCCTCTGTCACCGGGAGACAGTCCACTTAAATGCAGCTCCAGGGCTGTGAGGCACCCACCAGGACCACTCCCCGGGCGAGGTGGCAAATGCAACATGCTCTCCAGCTTGGGGTGTCTACTTCTCTGTGGAAGTATTGCACTAGTCCTGGGAAATGCACAGAAATTGCCAAAAGGCAAGTAGCCCTGATGTTTTATGTTTTAAAAATAATTTTAAGATATACTTGTTTTTAAATGTTGCTATTAAATATGATCTGCTTTACCAGATGGGGGGGAATAGAGTTATTCTACAGAAAGTCAAAGTTCAGATGTGTGAAGGGGTCACTTAAACTTTTATTTCCCCTTCTCCGTTATTTGCTTTTCAATTGCAGTTCTGGATTGCAAAAATGACAACCAACTTCTTAGTAAGTTAAGCAGATGTTCACAGAAACTTGAATGGTATAGTTTCAAAGTATAGTTTTTGTATATTGAATCATATAAGTAGTTATTGTAGTCTGTTAAAAAGAGTTGTTTGGTGTTTTTATCACCCTCCCTGTACTAGCTTAAGGTTCAAAAGACACTAATTCTGAAGCCTTGAATTTTTGGTGTAAACCTCAAGCATACCTGTTAACCGTGAGGGAGTCTCTAGGCAGGTCACCCCAAGGTGCAGTCACGTGCTAATTCGTAGACACTTCCCTCCCGTGGAGTTTGGAAGAAAGTTTGATCTGCTGGACAAGACACTCCCCTTTTCCTGGCTAAATTGCTCTCATTTTAGTGTTGGTATTTTGTTTATAAATGTTATCAAAAGAAAATTAAAATTTCTAAATTTAGACCCTAAAAAAAAAAAACAAAACCCTTGAGCCTATTGGAACCCAAACAAGAGGCTCTTGCCCCTCTCATCCGCCTTTGAACATAAATGTTGCATGTATTTTTTTGTTCCTTTGCAGAGGCAATTTTCTAAGCCAACTTTAGGTCTGTGAAGGCTTTTTATGGTTGCAGACTGCTGTAGTCAGCAGGATTATGAAAAACAGGCTGGAATTTACCGTACAGTTATAATGGAAAATATTGGAGGTAGCGCTGAGCCACATGCTTGTCAAAAACCTGGCCTGCCTAGAGTTTGAAGGAAAGGTTGTTAGTGTCAGAATATCCAAAATATCATTCTTAGGTCCTCTCTCTGAATAGTTTGCTCTAGGATCATCTTGACCCAAGTAAAAACTGTTCTTTCCTCAGTGGGTAAAGTGAAACTTGAATCCAGAATGTGAAGGCTGATACATTTTGCTAGTTGATATTTCACACAATGTGAAAAGTAATAAAAAAGACTAAGTAAACTTTCTCAACTCTGATTGAATAATTATGCAAATAAAATAAAAACACCACTATTAGATTTCTTTTCTTCTACCAAGAATTTTGTTGTTTGATCACAGTCAATCTGAGATTTAAATAAATCAATTATGAGCCACAAACATTCAGAATTAATTGTTCCTTTTGATGAAATATTTAATTATGATACACCATTTGAGAAGATTCTGGGTTTGTTTTCCTCAGGATCAATGCATACAGATGGCTTTATTTTACTTTATATTCACTGTATAGAGATGATAGCCTTAATTTTGTTACTGCAAACTTCTGCAAATGCTAAGTGCTTTCATTATCGTGTTGCAATCACTGGATACGACTCTCTTGACATAATTTTCCTTTATTTGTAAAGGCAAAGAAAAAAAAAAAACTCACATAGTTGTCACAAAAACTTTTGTCTAGTACATTGCACATTAATCTGAAGTGTTTTCATCCAGGTTTCTTTTGTAAATTTTAAAAGCATTCATAGTTTTGGTTATTTGAAAATAAAACCCATTCAATTATAACTATAAAATAAATGGTAAACTCCTTTGGTTTTAATGCTATTTTTTGATTATGGAATCTACTGAGGAACTTTCTTTTTGCTAAGGTCACCTTTCTCAAACTGTGTTCCAGGCGTGGGTGCACTGTCCTACGATGGGTGCGGGTAGGGAGGGAAGGCAGCTGCTTCCTGTCAGTAACCTGGGGAGCCTTTGCTGCTTTGTCTTTTTGGGGGGAGTTACAAAAGATGTTAGCATTTTACAAGTGCTCAGTAGAAGAAACCTGTCCAACTTTTTTAACCCATTGTTTCTCCAATTCATTTCACAAAGTATCCTCTTTTTAGTAGAACAGCTCTAATACCTTGCCAGGGGCTTGTGTGTCACATTTGAGGAAATGATGGGCTAAAAAAGAAAAAAAGGGATAAACGATTTTTTCTTTTCTTCTTCTTTCCTACTTTAGAGTTAGTTAAATACTATTTGTGATTTAAGAAGAGCTTGGAATTGTGGAGCAAGAAAGGACACTCATGATTACATAGTCTAATTTAGACCTTTGGATGTATGGACCAGTAAAAATGCATACATATTTTAGTATCAGAGTTCCATTATAGAGAACATAGTTGAATATTGCTATAAGAGGATGCTCAAAGTTGAGGGGATCCCCATTGTTCATAAAAGCAAGCCATTTTCACAGATACATAAAATAAATGAATTTAACTGCATGAATAAGTCTGTTGTCCTTATTTTCCTCATTTCACCACAGACTGATGAAAACTTTATCACAGACCAATATTTGGAAACCACTGAACTAGATAAACTATTTATTTTACAAATGAAGAAACCCAAGGGCAGGGAAGATTTAATAACTTTCCCATGTTAATGGCAGAGCCAGGACTAGATACTGAGCTTCTGATTCAAAATCCATGTTCTATCCTGCTTCCTGCCAGGGAGGCAGCCCAAGGACCTGCACCTTAGGACTCACGTTCTGCAGTGTACACGTGAACACCACCCTTCCCTCAAATAAAATAGCTTATGTAAAGTTCTTAAACATCATCTTAGTTTTTATATTTTCTCAAGAACATATCCACATTTTATATACATATGATATATATTATATATTTGATTATTTATAGGAAATCACTTGTATGTCATATGCCTATTTGCATACCTAGCCACATACCTTGTTATAAAAAATAAGTTATTAGAAAATTCTTTTAAAAGCTCGAAGTTAGACACTATTAATGGACCTGTTCTTCTTTCTACCACTTAATGACTGTATTTTTTAACAAGTTATTTACTTTCGTTAAACCTCAGTTTCCTCATCTGTAAAATGGGACTAATGATAACTGTCTTATAGTATTTTAGGATTAAATAAGAGATACAAAGCTTTCAGTAATGAGACTGACAAATAACAGGTATTCAATGAATGTTTATTGCATCATAGAAAATGGGATCAATATCTAAAAAAATATGCACACCAAATAATATATGGTCTTGTGTTCAAATGGAAAAATCTCTTGTAAGGTAGCAAATGAAGTGGCATGTTCTTGGCGGAAAGGTGGGGTACGGGAATGAAGTGTGGTTCTAGGTGACAGTGAAGGAAGATCTCTACTGCATTCTAGCCTGACCATTGTCTGCCCACATGACCAAACGATACTCTTTGGAAAACTGCATCTTTGCCTTAGGATCAGCTTTTCCATGGGGATTGGCAAGACCTCAGGGACCCTCCAGGTGAGATCCCATTAAACTTGTTTTTCAGGCGGAGAATTAGACCTTAACACACAGGCACTAGAGAAGAATCACCGCATTGTTTTATACCTTTGGAAGTGGAACTGCTACCTCTCAGAATATTTATTCTTGGCACCACATAAATCCCCTCCCCTTGCAAACAGGCTAAAATAAAAAACAAAGAGAACAGTAATGAAGGGAGCCAACACAATTTTCTATAGGGCCTTGACACGCCTCTGCGCTAAAACAACTGCATAATGAAGAGTATAATTAGCCTGAAGGCAAAAGGCGACTATTTCTAGTCAGGTCTGTCAGACCTCCTGACGCACATGTGAGGAAAACTGCAGAGGAATATCCGAGTGTAATTAGGTGGCCAAGGGGCACGAGGATCCTGGGCGAGACTCTGCACATGGCAGAGGGAGGAGGCAGCTGGCTCTTTGCCTTGGATCTTTACCTGACAGGGTAGAGATGTCTGACTCCAGGAACACAGAACACAAGGGCAGATGGTGATCATACAGAAACCATCATAGTAAGAACGATTGCCATTATTGCTATCACAGATAACATTATTTGAGTGTATACTAGATGTGATAATTTAGTCTTACATACTTTTTAATGTAGAAAAATCTAATTAAATTCTTGGAGCTCCCCTATCATCTCAGTCCATTTTGTGCTGCCATAACAAAATAGCTGAGACTGGGTAATTTATGAAGAGCAGACATTTATTTCTCACAGTTCTTGAGGCTGGGAAGTCCGAGATCAAGGTTCCAGCATCTGGTGTGAGGGCCGCCTTACTACCTCGTGGAAGGCAGAGGGCAAGAGACAGCCAAAGCCCTCTGTCAAGGCCCTTTTAATAAGGGCACCTACTCCCGTTCATGGGGGAAGAGCCCGTATGTCCTAACACCTTTTAAAGGCTCTACGTCATAATATCACATTGGCAACACCTGAAGTTTGGAGGGGCTACATTCAAACTGTAGCACTGTGAAGCAGGTATCTTATTATTCCCACTTTACAGAGCATAAACTTGGGCCTCAGAGTGTTTAAGTAATTTACTCCAAGCCATGTAGCCAGCAAGTGGCAAAAGACCATACCTTCAACTTTGACATGATATTAGTTCCCTGCTCGATGTAAAGATACATGAATTTGTTCAAGTCACAAATTATATTCCACATTTATGAGAGCGCTGATGCTGGGAGGAAAAACCTTGGCACTTGTCTGCAGGGAGCTGAACAGTTAACGGAGGAGATGGGTGGAAAGGAATAACGACAATAGAGTGAGGTCATCCTAAAATTTGGTTGAAGCATAAAGAATTTTGAGAACAACCAGAAGGATCCAATCCAGACTGGAGGTGTCAAGAATTACAAGAGAATAGGGCACCCAAGTAGAGGTCTGAAGTACAAACACACGTCAGGGCAAGGAGGAGGGTGGCTGAGAGGTGAGGGGCCTTCCCAACAAAGGTAGCTGCTGGGCCAGAGCCCAGCCACCTCCACGGCCAGAGCTCAGTGAGTATTGCCAAGACTGAGAAATCCACTCACGATGCAACTGTGCTTTGTCTCTATCTTCCCAGACTGCTCAAGATTGATTACTAAGAGGAAATAAAAAGTTGTCTTTGGAGAGGCAGACTCTTACATCTGCTC